ATATGCAGGGGTAGTAGCTGCACGTGCGGGGGAAGAGCCACACGTGTAGAAAGGTGTGTCGTATGTGCGGCGAGGGGGGTGTTTTCTGAGAGCTGGGTCTAAAATATATGCACGAGCGGAGGGCACATGCAGGAGGTGTACCGCACGTGTGAGAGAATGGGTCGCACGTGCGGCGAGGGAGAATTTCTAGGCGTGGGAGACTAAAATAACCGAATGTGTGGAGGATAAGTGTCGCACGTGCGACAGAGGTACGCTCTGCACATGTGGAAATGTGCTCTATCCATTTTTTTTTTCCTTTTTTCTTCCTTGGGCTGAGCACCCACTTCACTTTTCCTTCATCTCTGTCCCTAAAACACATTTCTCTTCCTTCTCTCGACATTTATTCTCACCAAACTTTATTAAATCTTTGATTTCTCCAAATCCATTTGAGTTTTGACTCTAGTTCCTTCATTAGAGTTAGAGAGCTCTTCGAGGACTACATTTTGTGTGGTGGAGATTGGATTTTAACACTGTCAATTTTGGGAGTTTCTTCTCTTTTCTTCTCCAAATCTTGTGGTAGGGAGTTTCTTTGAATTATATATATAATTTTGGCATGTTCTAATATTTTCTTGATGTTATCTTTGGGTTTTGAGTTGGGATTTGAGTTAGGATTTGGGATGTGTTTCAAAAGGGGGTATTTCTCTTTCCTCTCATGAAATTGATTCTTATTTATGAGGTGTGTGACTCTTGGAAGTCTATTGGCTAGAATTTTTTTATTTTTATTTTTATGTAAGAAATTCATTTTGGGTGGAAACCCTAGTTTTTGAAAGTTGGAAAAATCTTGAATTTATTGAAGGAAAATTCATGGGATCATGAGATTTTGTTGAAAAAGATGAGGAAAAATGTATGTAATTTCATTGTTGAATCATCCATCTAAATGAGGAAAAGTTTGTTTGAGAAATTGCCATGGATTGTATAATGAGAATATTTGGAATAATGGAAAAGTTGAATATTGTATGATGTTGTGATGGTGGATATGTTCTTGTGTCCCATAGGTATGATTATTGACATTTAATTTGAAAACATTGAGGATGTTGATGATTGTATTATGGTAAAATGTTGGAAAACATGAGAATTGTAAAATCGTATTTACACATGCATTTGCGTAGCCTTGAATTTTGATTATTATGGCTATGTTTTGAAAAGTGAATTGCTGTTGATAAACAATTGTAAACCTTGAAAATGTTTAGGGTAAATACGTTTGGTAAATCCGGATAGGGGTGTAAATTGATATTGTTTAAGTTGGCCCGAGTGTCTAGGGTGAAAAACTGAAAACACGTGCGGATGAGATGCCACGTGTCTACCGGTAAAGTGGGGAATAGTAGTGCTTGACATGCCTACTTGCAAATACCGATTTAGGGATTACCTGAGTCGTATTGACCATCTCATTATTGTCAGAAAATCCCTCTTTTTTTTTTTTTTTTTGAAATCTGAATCTATATTGCATGTGGACTCTTTTTGTAAATCTCTCGCATTAATGGAATCTAAGTATAGAGATTTGACAACTTGTTTTGAGATTAGTGAAATTGAAGGGATTAATCAGACTGATTTTTATGTCATTTATTTGGGGGCGTTACAATAATGGCATAAAATAATTTAAATAAATTTTTTCAAAAATAATTTTTAGTTTAAAAATTACAATAAATATTTAAATTGAATAAAAATAAATTTCTCACAAAATAAAATTATTCGAATGAAAAAAAATATAAAAAATAAGAAGAAAGTTTAGAATGGTATTTTTATTTAATCTGAAAATAGTTATAGTTGAATAATAAATTATCACGTGTAACTCTCAATTTTTTTTATTATAAAAAAAAAAATTCACCAACCATCACTATTAATGAAAAAAAATAACATTTATTTTTATTGGTTTTAGCAAAAGTCACTTCCTAGCTATTTAAGCTAAAAATAATTTTGTTTTTTTTATTTTAATTTGTTTAATTGACAATTGACATAAAGAAAAAATTTGACAGAATCTACCATGTTTGGCCAGTGTTAAAAAAGTCATTAATTTTCTTAACTTTTTGTTTTGTTTAAAAAAATTAAATTTGTATTAAAAAATTTTACTGTTCAAGTCTTTGTAGTTTAAAAGGATCTAAAAAATTAAAAATTTAAAACCAAAAAGGACGCCCACAAAAAAAAAAGACAAAAATTTTTAACAATGATTATTAATTTGAGCAAGTGTATTTAAAATAAATTATATTCAGAGAAATAATATTATGACACATCATTATTAATTATATAAAATGTTCAAAAACCTAAAAAAAAATGGATTGGAAGTTTAAGCTTTAAAAACCTAACAATGTTTTAAGACTATATATAGTATAAATAAATTTGGAAATGTGATTTAATTTCCTTGTATATGTGTGAGTAATTTCCTTATATATGTCAAGAATTAAAAGATTTTAATATATTAATTAAACAAATAGTAATTACATTTAAGGTAAAAGAACCAATAGTTACATGACATGTGTTTTTTTATATTTTATAAATTAAGAAAATCTAAGAAAATAGAGTTATGATTTTAGAGCTTAAGGACCCAACAATATTTTGCAATTATAGATAGTATAGATATAAATAGGTGGTGATGGGTATTTTGACTTTCAATAAATGAATATAAATGATACATATTTTGTATACAAATTTTGTTTACGTAGCATTTTCTTATTTTACATCTCATAAGTTACCGCGTGTGTTTGTTTTTTTTTGAAAGGTGAATTATACTTGTGGTCACTGTGATTTGCCTTTTGTGCTAAATTATTTAATATAGTTTTAATTGTATCAATTTCGCCTTTAAATTTTTCAAACTATATTAATTTTGTCTAATTGGAAACATATGTTAAAAAATTAGATAGAAATCAATGGTACAATGATCTATCCAAAAGGAAATAGATATTTTAAATTGGACAGGACAACCATATAGGAGAAGAAACAAAAACAAACAAACAAACAAACAAAGCCCTAAAAGAAAACAATGAACTTCTTATTTGCCAAATTGGAAAAGAGTGTGAATGGACAATTTTCCTCTTTGATTTCAATCTAATTTCTCAAAAGACATTATTAATTGAAATAAATTGACACAATATAAAAAAATTTAAAATAAAATTTATGCAAATTAATATAAGAGATAAACTATAAAAACTAGAAATATAATTAAATCATTACTCTAAAATAATAATAATAATGAGTTAAATGCATGAGACTTTTGTTAAAATAGAGTATGAAGAAAGAAAGATGCATATAATTTTAGTTCTATCTTTTAAGACATGAAGAAAGAAAGAAAGAAATTTACCTCATCATTCCAATTTGTTTTCCATGTGATAAACAAAAGGATCAACGTTTGAAGAAGAGTCCCACATATCATACCAATCCAAATTCCCTATTAAGGACAAAAACTTTGTTATATAGCCAGTCAACTTATTAAAAGATCAATTATTATCTAATTTCAGTTGATTCATATGATTTAATTGGAGACTACTGGTCTGGATCAATAACGATGATCTAATGGGTAAACTATAATTTTATAATTTAAACAACTTAAATCATAAAATTAAATACTCATTTTACTACTTACACGAACTTACACCTAGAACCAAACACTTATCTTTTTCTCCACCTCTCCTTTCAAAATAGTGTCTAAAAAAAAAAAAAATGAATGTTTGATTGTAATATTGAAATAACTTCTTTTTTTGCATATTCAACTGTTATGGAGAGGAGTTTGATACTCTGGTGGTTGTTTATATCTCCCCCATTATGACACAGGTTAGGTTTGGTTTTCAAAAGATTGTTTCAAAAAAAAATTTCTAAGAAATAAAAATCATTTTGTGAAAAAATATAAAAAATCAAAAGCAGTTTTTATCTTTATATCGTTTGATCTTTTTGAAGGATAAAATAGTTTTTAAAATTTTAAAGCTTTTAATATTTGTAATTTATATAATAGGTGGGAGTCAATAATAATATCATAACACTAGGTAGTATACTAGTTGGTGCATGTAATACTACCGTTCAATAAAAGATGTACTTCCAAGTTCCAACTTATGTTTGACAAATTGTACTAATACTCCTTGTAATAAAGGTCTTAAAAGCATGAATAACAGTGCCAAACAACTGAAAAGAAGTTATTTGACGATGTTAGAAGCATCGTCAAATAAAAATGACTAACAAAAACATTTTTAAAACAAAAAACTTGTCTTAAGAAGTTATTTTACATTTTGACTTATATGGGTTTCAATTTACATTTTGAAATGGGGAATTCGGTGGGTTTCAACTTAATCACATCCATTCACTTATATGGGTTTCAATTTACATTTTGACTTGTACATTATTTTTCAAAATAAAATGGGGAATTCGGTAGGTCCATTTGAAAAAAATCTATTATAACTTATAATATTTTAAATTTATGATTAACCAGTCGTATTTTGAAATTTTAGAGTTATTAGATAAAACGTTTTAGGTTTTCACCTTATTTGCTTTTTTTAGCTAAACAAAATAACTTTTTTGAAGTTGGGTTTGAGATTTTTTTTATTATTATTATTATTTTAAAAACCTAATTTAAGCTTTAAATTAGTTTGCCATTGCCAACACCTTTCAGTAAAAGGGAACACTAGAATTACAGAACTCAACAAACACAAAATGAAATTATAAACCAATTTAATTATAAACTTATTTAAACAACTTGAATTTGATGAATAAGTCAATCTAACACACCAATTAACAGGCTGTTTGGCAACTTCCCTAAAAGTCAATTTTTAATTTAAAAAGTGAAAAAGTTAGTGGTGAGTTTTTTATGGGCTAAAAACTCAGATGTCACATCAACTTTTTTAATTACAAAAAATTAATTTTTTTAATAACCTGCCAAATACATTAGCCTTTTTAACTCTTAAAAAAGTCTCAAAAATCAAAAAGTCACACAAAAATTAACTCCAAACAATCACTAAAAAAGGAGAAAATACAATGCCATACCTAACTCAACTCAATCTAACACACTAATTAAGTAATTGTAAGGAAGAATACACAATTAATGGAAATTCCTTAATTTGGAGTGAAAGAAATGTGATTTTTTTTTACAAGGGATCAGACATTTCATCTTTCCCAGCCCATTGCTTTAGTCTCTCCGATGCTTGTTCTACCTGCATTTTCAAAACATAAATAGGCAAAGAGAAAAATGATTATATAACATTTAAATTAGAATGATCACGGAAGGGCATTTTCTAATTATGAATTACTAGTGAGAAACTCGTGCTACGCACATGATATGAAAATTTTAATGACATATTTTTATATAAAATTTAAGTTTTTGTATGAAAATTACCAAGATAAAAAAGATTGAGACCCACACATTTTATAAAGGGATAATCGAATAAGTTGATATTATAAAATATTACTTTTATAATGATATAAGATAATTTAAAAATTATTTTTCAAAATTATTTTTAGTTTAAAAATTACAATAAAATAGTTAAATCAAATGTAAATTAATTTCTCATAAAATAAAAGTATCTGAATGAAAAAAATAAATAAATAATAAAAAGGTAAGAAAAAAAGTGTAGTATGGCCTTCTCATTTGATCTCGAAATAATTCTAGATAAATAATAAATTGTCACTTGTAACCCTCATTTTTTTTATCATAAAAAAAAAGTTTCATCAGCCATCACTTTCAATAGAAAAATAACGTTTATTTTTATTTGGTTTTAGCAAAAGTCACTTCTTAACTATTTAAGTCAAATTTTTTTTTTAACTAACAATAAACCCGTGCGATGCACGGGATGTAAAAAAATTAATAATATATTTTTATATAAAACAATAAAAATTGTTAGGCTTTTATATGCAAATTATCAAAACAAAAAATATTGAGACCCATAACAATTTTATCATAATTTATGTGTGAATTTTTAATTTAACGTAAACTCAACCATTTCAACTCCCTTGCTATATTTGCAAACTTGGGATAGCTCAACCTAAGCAACCCGAGTCAAGTTTGAAATTTTCTAAAGATTAGGCAACATATTTTTTTTAATTCGGTGAGATTCTAGACAAAAATTCGAATTAAATATGAGTGGGTTTTGATAGAGACCCCAAACAATCTGAGCAACTTGAAACTTAAATTGTGTATATAAATATATAAAATTATTTGTTAATTTATTTTTTGAAATAATAAATAAAATTAATTAAAAATTTAATATTAAAAGTAAAAGCGATATGCTTTAGCTTATTCAATAGGATTTTTTTGTCTAAATGTCTAAAAAAATACAATTTTTATAAACGAATAATTGAATGAGTTGATATTAGAAACTATTACGTTTTATAATTGTGATGCCTGGGCACTTAACCCGTCATGTTCTCCTTCAATCGTGGTTATCTTTCTCGTGTTGGGGATGTTGGGAACAAATTTGAGGCGTTGTCAGCCGTTTAGGTCCACCGTTCTTGAAACCTTTCTTGGATTTACATCTTCATTTTATTTCAGAGTTGAAGTTTTCTCTTGTTTTGCAAGTGTAGTTAGGGTCGGGGTGGTCATTGGCTTGTTAAGCTTGCAAATTTGAAGGGTAGCAGAATCGCATATGCAGGGGTAGTAGCTGCACGTGCGGGAGAAGAGCCACATGTGCAGAAAGGTGTGTCGTATGTGCGGCGAGGGGGGTGTTTTCTGAGAGTTGGGTCTAAAATATATGCACGAGCGAAGGGCACATGCAGGAGGTGTACCGCACGTGTGAGAGAATGGGTCGCACGTGCGGCGAGGGAGAATTTCTAGGCATGGGAGACTAAAATAACCGAATGTGTGGGGGATAAGTGTCGCACGTGCGACAGAGGTACGCTCTGCACATGTGGAAATGAGCTCTATCCATTTTTTTTCCTTTTTCCTTCCTTGGGCTGAGCACCCACTTCACTTTTGCTTCATCTCTGTTCCTAAAATACATTTCTCTTCTTTCTCTCGACATTTATTCTCACCAAACTTTATTAAATCTTTGATTTCTCCAAATCCATTTGAGTTTTGACTCTAGTTCCTTCATTAGAGTTAGAGAGCTCTTCGAGGGCTACATTTTGTGTGGTGGAAATTGGATTTTAACACTGTCAATTTTGGGAGTTTCTTCTCTTTTCTTCTCCAAATCTTGCGGTAGGGAGTTTCTTTGAATTATATATATAATTTTGGCATGTTCTAATATTTTCTTGATGTTATCTTTGGGTTTTGAGTTGGGATTTGAGTTAGGATTTGGGATGTGTTTCAAAAGGGGGTATTTCTCTTTCCTCTCATGAAATTGATTCTTATTTATGAGGTGTGTGACTCTTGGAAGTCTATTGGCTAGAATTTTTTTATTTTTATTTTTATGTAAGAAATTCATTTTGGGTGGAAACCCTAGTTTTTGAAAGTTGGAAAAATCTTGAATTTATTGAAGGAAAATTCATGGGATCATGAGATTTTGTTGAAAAAGATGAGGAAAAATGTATGTAATTTCATTGTTGAATCATCCATCTAAATGAGGAAAAGTTTGTTTGAGAAATTGCCATGGATTGTATAATGAGAATATTTGGAATAATGGAAAAGTTGAATATTGTATGATGTTGTGATGGTGGATATGTTCTTGTGTCCCATAGGTATGATTATTGACATTTAATTTGAAAACATTGAGGATGTTGATGATTGTATTATGGTAAAATGTTGGAAAACATGAGAATTGTAAAATCGTATTTACACATGCATTTGCGTAGCCTTGAATTTTGATTATTATGGCTATGTTTTGAAAAGTGAATTGCTGTTGATAAACAATTGTAAACCTTGAAAATGTTTAGGGTAAATACGTTTGGTAAATCCGGATAGGGGTGTAAATTGATATTGTTTAAGTTGGCCCGAGTGTCTAGGGTGAAAAACTGAAAACACGTGCGGATGAGATGCCACGTGTCTACCGGTAAAGTGGGGAATAGTAGTGCTTGACATGCCTACTTGCAAATACCGATTTAGGGATTACCTGAGTCGTATTGACCATCTCATTATTTATTTTGAAATTTTTGAGATAATGACATTTGAAATAAGAATTGCATATGGTTTTCAAAATGAAACAAAGTTTTTTTTTTTTTTTTTTGAAATCTGAATCTATATTGCATGTGGACTCTTTTTGTAAATCTCTCGCATTAATGGAATCTAAGTATAGAGATTTGACAACTTGTTTTGAGATTAGTGAAATTGAAGGGATTAATCAGACTGATTTTTATGTCATTTATTTGGGGGCGTTACAATAATGGCATAAAATAATTTAAATAAATTTTTTCAAAAATAATTTTTAGTTTAAAAATTACAATAAATATTTAAATTGAATAAAAATAAATTTCTCACAAAATAAAATTATTCGAATGAAAAAAAATATAAAAAATAAGAAGAAAGTTTAGAATGGTATTTTTATTTAATCTGAAAATAGTTATAGTTGAATAATAAATTATCACGTGTAACTCTCAATTTTTTTTATTATAAAAAAAAAATTTCACCAACCATCACTATTAATAAAAAAAGTAACATTTATTTCTATTGGTTTTAGCAAAAGTCACTTCCTAGCTATTTAAGCTAAAAATATTTTTTTTTTATTTTAATTTGTTTAATTGACAATTGACATAAAGAAAAATTTTAACAGAATCTACCATGTTTGGCCAGTGTTAAAAAAGTCATTAATTTTCTTAACTTTTTGTTTTGTTTAAAAAAATTTACTGTTCAAGTCTTTGTAGTTTAAAAGGATCTAAAAAATTAAAAATTTAAAACCAAAAAGGACGAACACACACAAAAAAAAAAAAGACAAATTTTTAACAATGATTATTAATTTGAGCAAGTGTATTCAAAATAAATTATATTCAGAGAAATAATATTATGACACATCATTATTAATTATATAAAATGTTCAAAAACCTAAAAAAATGGATTGGAAGTTTAAGCTTTAAAAACCTAACAATGTTTTAAAACTATATATAGTATAAATAAATTTGGAAATGTGATTTAATTTCCTTGTATATGTGTGAGTAATTTCCTTATATATGTCAAGAATTAAAAGATTTTAATATATTAATTAAACAAATAGTAATTACATTTAAGGTAAAAAAAACCAATAGTTACATGACATGTGTTTTTTATATTTTATAAATTAAGAAAATCTAAGAAAATAGAGTTGAGATTTTAGAGCTTAAGGACCCAACAATATTTTGCAATTATAGATAGTATAGATATAAATAGATGGTGATAGGTATTTTAATTTTCAATGAATGAATATAAATGATACATATTTTGTATACAAATTTTGTTTACGTAGCGTTTTCTTATTTTACATCTCATAAGTTACCGCGTGTGTTTGTTTTTTTTGAAAGGTGAATTATACTTGTGGTCACTGTGATTTGCCTTTTGTGCTAAATTATTTCATATAGTTTTAATTGTATCAATTTCGCCTTTAAATTTTTCAAACTATATTAATTTTGTCTAATTGGAAACATATGTTAAAAAATTAGATAGAAATCAATGGTACAATGATCTATCCAAAAGGAAATAGATATTTTAAATTGGACAGGACAACCATATAGGAGAAGAAACAAAAACAAACAAACAAACAAACAAACAAACAAAGCCCTAAAAGAAAACAATGAACTTCTTATTTGCCAAATTGGAAAAGAGTGTGAATAGACAATTTTCCTCTTTGATTTCAATCTAATTTCTCAAAAGACATTATTAATTGAAATAAATTGACACAATATAAAAAAATTTAAAATAAAATTTATGCAATTTGAACTAAAGAACCAAATTAATATAAGAGATAAACTATAAAAACTACAAATATAATTAAATCATTACTCTAAAATAATAATAATAATGAGTTAAATGCATGAGACTTTTGTTAAAATAGAGTATGATGAAAGAAAGATGCATATAATTTTAGTTCTATCTTTTAAGACATAAAGAAAGAAAGAAAGAAATTTACCTCATCATTCCAATTTGTTTTCCATGTGATAAACAAAAGGATCAACGTTTGAAGAAGAGTCCCACATATCATACCAATCCAAATTCCCTATCAAGGACAAAAACTTTGTTATATAGCCAGTCAACTTATTAAAAGATCAATTATTATCTAATTTCAGTTGATTCATATGATTTAATTGGAGACTACTGGTCTAGATCAATAACGATGATCTAATGGGTAAACTATAATTTTATAATTTAAACAACTTAAATCGTAAAATTAAATACTCATTTTACTACTTACACGAACTTACACCTAGAACCAAACACTTTCCACCTCTCCTTTCAAAATTGTGTCTAAAAAAAAAAAATGAATGTTTGATTGTAATATTGAAATAACTTCTTTTTTTGCATATTCAACTGCTATGGAGAGGAGTTTGATACTCTGGTGGTTGTTTATATCTGCCCCATTATGACACAGGTTAGGTTTGGTTTTCAAAAGATTGTTTCAAAAAAAAATTTCTAAGAAATAAAAATCATTTTGTGAAAAAATATAAAAAATCAAAAGCAGTTTTTATCTTTATATCGTTTGATCTTTTTGAAGGATAAAATAGTTTTTAAAATTTTAAAAATATATTTTTGATATTTATTTTTATTAAACTGGTTTCTATTTTTTCCAAAAAAAAATCAAGAAATAGTTTTAAAAAATCAAACCAAACATAATTTTTAGTTTTTTTTTTTGGGGTATGGAAATAAAATGATTGGATCTACTTGTACTTGTCAACCATGGTTAAATTTCTTTTTGGAAATTAATGAAGATTGATACAATACCTCCACTCCTAAACTTGTCTTGTAACCTAGAAGGAAACCAAGAGGGAGCCCAATAATGTAATAACAAAACAAATTAATATAGGCCACAAGTGCTTGCCATCCTCCTCCAACAGCAACTCCTGCAAAAATCGTTACTAAATTATTGCATGCTTTGATATTCCAAAAAATAAAAGTAAAAAATAAAAATCTGTACAATAAGAGGGTGCTTGGTAACCTTTACAAGTTTTTTTTTTAATTTTTTTTTTATATAGAAAACATAAGCAACATAAAACATATTCATGTTTATGTTTATTTTTGGTATAAATATATATATATATATATATATGTGATACACGCCTATGATTTTAAGAGCTTGTTTGAAAAACAAATGAGATGGTAGTCAGAGGGGTTGCCGGTGGGTGGAGGTAATGGAGGAGGGAGGAGGAAATAAAAATTATCTACAAAAAAATTGAAAGTATTTTTTTTTCCCAGAGAATTTAGTGGATTTAGAAAAATCTTTCTATTCCTTCAAAAAATAAAAAAACGGACACTAAACAAGTTTTTGTTTTCAATTTTCAAAATTCATAAACATAAACAAAAAGAGAGTGTTTGATAATGTTTACAATTTCTTATTTTTTTATTTATAAAAAAATGAAACATGCATGTTCATGTTCATGTTCATGTTCATGTTTATTTTATCTAAAAATGGAAGAAAAAAAATTTGTTTTGAAAAGGAAGGAGAAAATAAAAAATGTTTACAAAACAAGAGAATAATTTTTTTCCTGTAGAATTTAATGACTTTTGAAAACTATTTTTATTTTTTAAAAAACATAAATTGACACCAAATAAATTTTTAGGGTAAATTATGCTTTTCACGTTCCAACTTCTATAGAAATTTCATTTTGATCATTCATCTTCTAATTACAACAATTAAGTTCTCATACTTTTACTTTTGTCTCAATGCGGTTTTTTCATTGCTCACCGTTAAAAATTTGGACGGAAAACGCTAACGCATCACCTTTTAGGGAGACTAGAGGAGAAAAAATTATGATAAATTGCATTTTTCATCCTCCAAATTTCACTTAATTCTATTTTAATCCCTCATGTTTTAACTTTCACTCAAATGTCAAACAGTGGAGTGACAGGAGAACTAAATTAAAATACAAATTGACATTTGAGGACTTAATAGGTACGATTAAAGTTGACGGACTAAAATGAAACTTAGAATTTACCCAAATTTTTAATTCTAATTTTTTTGTCTTTTCAAATTCATAAACATAAAGGGAAAATTATAAACATTAGAACAAGAGTTGAGTTTGTGAATGGGTTAATACCAGAAATAACAGGTTGAACACTGTTGAGGACCATGGTAATGGCAAGAAGGTAAGCCAAATGAGCAACAGCTTTTTGCATGTCTTTGCTGTCTGTGAAAATGACAGCGAAATGGTTTCTAGTAGTCATTATAATTGACATGAACAATATCCCTATTAGAAGAGACTCTATCACTGTTACAAAGACTGAGTATTTTGCTGCCCTGGGATGTTTTGATCCTAGCTCATTTGAAACCCTAACACTGTCATGAAGAAAAAAAAAATTAAATAAATTGATCAAAAGAAACCAAGAATGAAAATAAGATCAATACCTTGCAATGGAATTTGACAGGGAAAGTAAATATATGTGTCAAAAGAGAATCAATAAATGCAACATAAATATTTTTGCTAAAGTGCATAGAATGCGGCTAGGATGGCCCATTACTGCACGCATTTTGAGTATTTTTTTAAAAATTTGCAATAGCACTTAAAAAAATTTCAAAAGATCGATACAACACAATGGAATTTGAAAGGGAAATGAAAGGGAAATAAAATATATATGTGAAGAGGAGAATAAAAAATGCTAGCGAGGAATGTGAAATTTTTTATTTTTATTTTTGAAGTGTACATGTAGTTATGATGAATGTAGTGTTTTAATCCAAAGCCCATTTGATACCCTAACACTGTCACGGAGAAAAGAAAGAAAAAAAAATAGCCCATTTGATACCCTAACACTGTCACGGAGAAAAGAAAGAAAAAAAAATCATTGAAAAGAAACCAAGAAAGATAATTAGATCAATGCCACGTAATTTTACACATAAAAATTTGAAAAATGCTTGAGAGCTCTAGGAAATGAGTTCTAAACCATGCACTAATGACATGGAAGTGTGTGGGGTCCAGTTTGATGTGATGCTTTAGCTTGAAATTTTTTTTTTTTTTTTAGCTCTATAGCATTGTTGTAAAAATTTTCAAGAAAGTAAATAGAATGTAGCTGTGATGTGTCTCTACTACATTCCGAGTTTTTTTTTTTGGTAAATTATACTGACAACTCCTGAAGTTTATATTTATTATAATTTCCCTCTTATCTTTTGAAAATTACATCTCCCTCCCTGATGTTTAAAATTTTATTACAGATTCCCCCCTAAGCAATTTAATTTTTTAAAATATCAATTTTGCCCTCACTAGGTAAATTACATTGACACTCACATTTTAGAAATTATAATCCCCTCTCTAAGGTTTAAAGTAGCATTACCAATTACCTCATCAGTTAGTATTAGTTAGAAAAAAAATTCATTGAAAAAAAAAATTAATTGGAAAAAAAATTTGTTGTAAAATTTTTAAATTTCTGTTTTAAAACTAACATAAACTCATATTTTGAATTTACATTTTTTTTTTCAAATTTACAAACTGAAACAACAATTTATAAACCAAAAAAATTATCAAATAAGTTTTTATGACAGTTTTTAAAATTTTTGTAAATATAAATTGAAAATTGAAAACGAAATGGTTACCAAACAGGCCTTAGATGGTAAAAATGTCGTAAAATTAATAAATAATTAAATAAGTTACTAACGTAAGAAATGACGTATCAAAAGATTCTTAGACTATGTATGGTTTGATTTTTAGAATTTTTTTAAAAAAATTAAAAATTAATTTGGTTAAGAAATAAAAAATAAAAAATAATTATCATTTAAGGGTAAAAAATAATTATCATTTTTACTTTTGGACAAGTTATATACATACGTATGGCTGTTTCAATTTAATTTGTAAAAAATTATTTCTAACCACTCAAAAAATAAAAATTATATAAAAATGATAATCATTTTTTATTTGTTATTTCTTAACCAAATTAATTTTTAATTTTTTAAAAAAAATTCTAAAAATCAAACCATACATAACCTATGAATCTTTTGATAAGTCATTTCTTACGATGGTAACTTATTTAATTATTTGTTAATTTTACGATATTTTTACCATCTTAAACCTGTTTGGTAATCATTTCGTTTTCAGTTTTCAATTTATATTTACAAAATTTTAAAAAACTGTCATAAAAACTTGCTTGATAATTTTTTTTATTTATAAATGGTTGTCTCAGTTTGTAAATTTGAGGAAAAAACGTAAATTCAAACAATGAGTTTACGTTGGTTTTTAGACAGAAATTTAAAAAATTTACTAACAAAAAAAATTTTCAATTAATTTTTTTTTCAAATAACTTTTTTTCCAAGTAATTTTTTTTTTCAATAAATTTTTTTTTCCAACTAATAATAATCAAGGGGGCAATTGGTAATACTACTTTAAATCTTAGGGAGGGGATTGTAATTTCTAAAATGTGAGGGGTGTCAATGTAATTTACCCAGTGAGGGCAAAATTGGTAATTAAAAAAATTAAATTGCTTAGAGGGAGAATCTGTAATGAAACTTTAAATCTCAGGGGAGGGAGATGTAATTTTCAAAAGGTGAGGGGGAACTGTAAAAAATATAAACCTCAGGAGGTGCCAGTGTAATTTACCCTTTTTTTTTGTGTTTGTGTGGAAAAAATTAGCAATATTACTTCAAGAGGAAATCATTCAAAAGAGACAGAGAAGATTAGATGGATACCTCGCAATGGAATTTGAAAGGAAGAGGAAATATATATGTGAAGAGCAGAAAAAAAAAAATTGGTAGCAAGTGACACAGATTTTTTTTTCAGAATAGTACATTGATTGAGAATAGAATCATGATGAATGCAGTGTTGTTAGTACTCTATTCTGTATATATTTTTTTAGAAATTTATATTGGAAAATTTGTGGAAGGAAATTAAGTTCATTATACCTTATAGCTGCATTAATTCCAATAAATAGCATGCCTTCCCAACCATTAACATTCATGCTGCAACAAAAGCAAAGAGCTTTTAAACAGTTATACAACAAAAATCACAACAATAATGCTATTAACAGTGAAACAATATTTGGAAAATAATTACACACTCACTCACAAGTCCCTGTGATGGGTAATCTCCTATCGTGCCTGCTGTGCCTAAAACGGCACCATTTAATCTTCTTTTTTTTCTTTTTTTTTTTCCCCGCTGTGGAATGAAACGGCAGCGTTTTGTGTATATTTGCTTTTCTTTTTTCTTTTGTTTGGTTGGTCACTTTTTTACTTTAATTCTTAAATTTTTTTATTTTTTTTTATTTTAGAGTTTAGAGTTTAGGGTTTAGTTCTTAAAATTTATTTTTATTTTATTTTAAGGTTTAGGATTTAGGGTTTAATTCTTAATTTTTTTTATTTATTTTAGGGTTTAGGGATAAAATTTATTCTTTTTTATTTTAAGGTTTAGGTTTTAGGGTTTGATTCTTAAAATTTATTTTTTTTATTTTAGGGTATAGGATTTAATTCTTAAATTTTTTATGTTTATTTTATGATTTAGGGTTTAGGATTTAATTCTTAAATTTTTTTATTTTTATTTTATGATTTAGGGTTTAGGATTTAATTCTTAAAATATATATATTTTTTTATTTAGGGTTTAAGGTTTGGGGTTTAATTCTTAAAATTTATTTATTTTTATTTTAAGATTTAAGGTTTAGGGCAAAGTGTAATTTATCATGCCAAAAAATAAAGTCAAAACATGAAAAAAAAAACAAAAAAAACAAAAACAAAAGATTAAACGGTGCCGTTCTAGGCACGGCAAGGGAATTACCCACCGCAGAGACCCGTGTCCGTCGCTTTGCTTGTAGGAACCACAATTATGAACCCTACATGCATACTTCTGAATATCTGTGTAAGTCCCCATAGCATTTTAATAATTTCACTAAAATTTCATTTTGGCTCTTCTACTTTCAATCATGATAAAATTAAGTCAAGTTATAATGTCAACCGCTGTTAATGAGGCTGATGGAAATTAAAATGAAGTATAGTGAGATTTTGGATAAAAGTGTAAGGATTAAAGAGATATTTTAGTAAAAATATAAAGGTGGTAATGAGATAAGAAAATGTCACATATGACTTATTAGATGCATAGAAAGTTGATATTACAACTTAACTTAAAACAATAGGCTTTGAGTGTTATAATTGAAAATGAATGAGTTAAAATGAGATTTTAATAAAATATAGGTGGTAAGTGTAATTAGGTTTAGGGCTCATTTAGAAAGTTGATTAAAAGTCAGTTTTTGGCTTTTAAGAGCATCTCCAATCGTTTACCAAATTTTTCACTAAATTTGAGTTAAAAAAGACCCATTTTCTCATTTTGATACAGACTGCTCCAATGGTGGACATCAAAACAGGGGTCGACCGGTAAGGCATATATTTTTTTATTTTTTATCTCTTTGAACCTTTTGACCTGTTTGACCAAAATTTTTGTAAGGGAACCGGTGGACCGGCTGGTCAATCGGCCGGTCAATCGGCTGATCGACCAGTTGGTCTCCCCAACGGTCACGCACAGTGAAATGGTGAAAGCTGCTGCCTGTTCTCACTTTGATGAATTTTTTTGGTAAATTCTCAATTTGATACCGATTTGGTGCAACCGTTGGAGCACCAAACAGTCACTTTTTCACCAAAATTCAAATTTGATGTCAAGTTTGGTGAACCGTTGGAGATGGTCTAACCCATTTTAGATCACATCACCTCTCACATTTTATACTCACAAAAAGTCAAAAAAAATAAAAAAAAATCAATTTTTAACCAACTTTCCAAAACATACCTTAATCCAATTTTCACATGTTTCCATTAATTTTGGAAGGGCTAATTACACATTGGATTCTAAAAATAAATAAATAAAATATTTAAAAAAATATATAATTATTTTGGCCTTTACATTTCAAGTAAAGTTCCATTATCACCTTTTCGTTCAACAAGGGTTAATAAGACTAATCAAAATTTGACACAATTAAAAAAATAGAAGTGTTAGTGTAAGAGAGTCAATATTACAAACAATAATGCTTGAGACCATTAAAAGTGGTGCTCTAAAAGCACCACTAGTGATGTGGCAGTAGACGGGACCCACTGCTTGTGTCTTGTGTTTTTTTTTTTTTTTAGTTAAAGTGCTTGCCAACTCATTAGTGGTGCTTTAGAGCACCACTTTTAGTGGGATGTATCAATAAATTACAAATACATTTGAGTTTTGTTTAAAATACGGATTACTTTTGTGATTTGAATAATTACAAATATCCCTTTATCAGAATTTTTTATTTAACATAATGAATTGAAAAAATAAAATTTCTAACTGCTCTTCTATATAATAATAAAATTACCTGAATTATTAATTGAAATAAATTTTGATATCATTAAATACTATTAATTGACTTGATGATTTATTGAAAAGGGGAATCATTTGTTATGAAATTAAAATTTTCGAGGAGCGAGATATAATTTCTAAAATTATAGCAAAAAAATCATATCTTAAACAAATCTCATGAGGTGTATTTGTAATTTGTCCAATGTAAAATTAAGAGACTATACTTACCAGATGGAAAGTGATCCAACAGCAATGACAGGATCTTCAAGGTGTCCAGTGAGGACAATGATACTCATAAAATACCAAATTTCCAAACAGATCATAACAGCTGAAGCCACAGATAGTTTCACAAAGGGCCAAAGTTCCTTGAGAGCTAGCCAAGACAGCCCCTTCCAACCATCTTTGCACCACCCCACGATATAAGCCACCTGAGCCAATGCCACCAACCATGCCGAGATGTCATACGCCGCCGCTGCACCGCCCGTGCCCCACCCTAACACTTCTATGAAGAGATATAACATCCCAATGTGTATGAAGAGTGCCACAAATCCAATCCACGCCAGAATCCCCACCTTTTTTTTTTATTGTTATCGGGAAAGGAATTATTTATTAACTCAAAAATCTCAAAATCCACAAAAATATATATATAAAACAAACCTTAAAAATGAACAATACCCTGTGGGTTAAAGAGTAAGAGTAAAGAGTTGTTTGGGAGGATCTAAATAAGTGTACTTTTTGACTTTTTATGAAATATGGGTTGGGTTTGGGTTGGGTTTAAAATGATGTGTTAGAGAGGTAATATGACTTAAATAAGATGATGTGATTTAAATAGAATAATGACTTTTAACTTTTTTCAAACATGTCAAACTAGCCCTAAAGATCCCATTTTTTACCGTATTTTCTATCCCTAATTACAATGGAAGTACAGCTCACACCATGTGATATGGGTACCACTCTTATTGTGAGTAAGCAGAATAAAATAGGGTGTCCATGGCAGGATTTCATTTTAAACGAGGCAAATTTACATGTAATTCATGTATTTTTGCTTTTTGTGTCAATTTGATCCATTTAGTTTTAGTTAAATCAATTTTGCCCTTTAGTTTTTCATATGTGTTAATTTGGTCCTTTTAATTTCAATTGTATCAATTTTGTCATTTAATTTTTTATATTGTATAATATTAGATAGAAATTAAAGGCAAAGTAGTATATTCAAAAGAGAATGAATCATTTTAAACTAGACATCAATCCCCTAACCACTTTGAGAAAGGTAAATGAACTATTTTGACCTTGATTTCAATTCAATATCTGATGGGATAATATCAATTGAACTAAATTGACATAATGTAACAAAATTTAAAGGTAAAATTAAACAACTGATAGCAATATTCATCAATATAATGAACAATACTATCCAATATTAACCGATACATGATTGCATCATCAATAACGATATATATCCTGCTAAAATTATTTAAAACCGAGCCAACCAAAGATCAAACACCGAAAAGAATAACAACCTTAACAACACTACCTTGCTCTGAGATTGCAAGAACTTTTGGGTGGGGAAGTTGATGGCAAGAGAGAACATCTGAGGGATGACTTGGATGGAGAAATCTCCAGCGAGTCTGGCAATGTCGTCGCGTTGGCCAAGGAGCTTGAGGATAGGGGTGGCATAGATGTAGAGAGGCATGATGAGGAAGCAGGCACCAGATAGGATGATCCATGAACGTTGCATGTAAACACCCAACATCTCTAGTTGCCCTGCTCCAAATGCTTGTCCACATAGTGTCTCAAGTGCACTTCCCATACCAAGCTGCAAATTCATGAAACATGCAAAGGATGTTAACTTTTAGTTCTATTCTAGATATCGAAAATGTTGTTCTTCCCAAATTTTCCTACCAAAATGATGTGTCAGTTGTCGTTTTTGGATTTTTTTGGTTGATTTCTATGCAATATTAGGATATTGGAGAAATTACAAAATAAAAAAAATTAGAGTACGAGTTTTATAACAAAATTTTCATCAATTTAAACTCTAAACTTTTGATTTAAAAACACGCGACCCATTATCATAAACAAAAAGTGAGAAACAAAGATGAAAAGAAACACTACCAAGAATCCAAAAGAGAAGTTAGCAAGAACAGACAAAGAAATAGCCACAGCAGAGAGCTGCACATCCCCAATATGCCCAACAAAGATATTAGTGAATGAATTAATCCCATAATTGCACAGAATATTAAAAGCAATTGGTCCTGCAATTGTCCACAACTTTGCTGACTCTAGGTAACAAATTGTCTTCACATCCTCAAAGTTATTCACTTTTGGGTAGTCTCCCCCTTCCCCCTGCACCAACACCACTGTCGGCGCGTGGTGGAGATCCGTGTCTCCAATAGCAGTTCCTCCACCACCACCAACACTGCCTCCACCACCACCGTTCATCAATGTAACCTCCATTTGCAATGCCAAAAGCTTGGTTGGTGTACTTTCTGCAGAGGATGAACTGTTAGTGCTCTCCCCTGCCTTCTCTTCGTCATTCTCTTTGTTACTCGCAATCTTTGCAAACTTTATTGATCAACCCAGATTTTTTTTTTCTTTTCTTTTTCTTTTTTTGCACAAGTTTTTGGATTTGGAATTGTTAATTTGAAGAAAAATTTTTAAGTATTGTTGTTGTTGTCTAAAATTGGGTCTTTTGGTAAGAGAGAGTACATATATGTGTTTTACCTGGTTTTGTTGAGAACTATGAAAATGGGTTTACTGACACATGGTGAGTTTGTAGACTACAGTTTTGTTGTTCTAACATTAGAAGAGAGAGAGAGAGAGAGAGAGAGAGAGAGAGAGAGAGAGAGAGAGAGAGGAGTGTTTGAACTAAGTCCTGAGTCATTTGACGACAATAAGGAGTTGTCTCTTGACAACAATAAGGAAGCTTTCAGTTAGTTACTCGTGACAGTTAATTAACCGTTAAACACTTTTCCCCTCACAATCAGGGATTCGATTGCGATGTTGACTCTTGGGACTAACAATTCTCGTTTGAAATAGGCTTTTTAATTTTTTTAACTTTTATGAGAGAAAAAAATGAAATGATTATAGTTTAGATATGACGTTTTATCTTACTAGTCTAAAAAATGTATTTTATATTTTTATGACTAAAATAATCAAAAAAGTTAATATGCCAAACGAAGGCTAGGTGGTCTGGGCCAACTTGATATTCATTTAAAATAATAAATGATTTGATTTGGAACGGTACTACAGGATCACCATATAATCACTCACTTAATTGTCCATTCAAATCATAGCCTAATGCCTCACTTTTTTGGGTCTTTAGACAGAATTTTCTTATCAAACTTTGGACAATATTTTTGTAATATTTGTTGGCTTTTTGGCTTTTCGAAGGTTAAAATAATAAATGATTTGATTTGGAACGGTACTACAGGATCACCATATAATCACTCACTTAATTGTCCATTCAAATCATAGCCTAATGCCTCACTTTTTTGGGTCTTTAGACAGAATTTTCTTATCAAACTTTGGACAATATTTTTGTAATATTAAAATCTGAGGCATTTTCAAAAAAGTGAGGCATTAGGCCATGATTAGAATGGACAATTAGGGGCGATCAGATCAGCTGGTAAACAAGGGTATCTCCTCTGTGGAGAACAAATCTGGGCAAAATCACGGGCTAAGATCCTTCAAGGAAGCACTCACTAATCTTCGTTTCAATGAAAGGGCCTTCGAAGATGATCGGATCATCTATCAACAGATGATAAAGAGCTTGGTGAGGAAGCTTCGGAGGGTGAAGAAGATATGGATGAGGGCATGGATTTTGGAGCTCCCAGAATTAAACTCCCTAATGTTGTGTTTGGTTAAGGGATTTAAGAAGAGATTTAGAAAAGGAAATGGAAAAAGTAAGTGAAATGAAAATAAAATATACCAACATTTCACCTAGTTTCACACACATTTTCCCTTCTCTTTTCCTTTCCAAATCTCTCTCTAAATCTCCTAACCAAACACAGCGTAAGAGTCTCCTCAATAAAATTAGGAGGCCTTGGAAGGACTATTTGATCGTCAAATTATTGGGAAAGACTGGTTATAAACTTCTCATTACCAAAGTTAGAAAGATTTGGGATCTCCAAGGAATTTTTGAAGCTGTTGATCTAGGGCTTGGATACTTTCTTTTTAAATTTCAAATGAGGGAGGATTGTGCTAAAGTGTACATGGGAGGACCTTGGATTGTCTTGGATCATTATCAAACGGTTCGAAAATGGAAGCACGATTTCAAGCCCTCTCAAGCCAAGGAAGCATCAACTGCTATGTGGGTAAGATTTCCACAACATCCTATTGAATATTATAATGAGAAAGTTTTATTTCATAAAGCCAAAACTATTGGGAATCCTCTGAAAATTGATATTAACACAGCTACTCTAAAGGAAGATTTGCTCGTGTTTGTGTTGAAATGGATTTGAATAAACCTCTAATATCCCATTTTGCTATAGGTATGTATACTTATGGTATAGAATATGAACATCTCCACTCCTTTTGTTTTTTTTGTGGTAGAGCTGGCCATAGAAAGGAGAGCTGTAGTGACGCTCCGAAGAAGACTGTTGGTGGTGCATCTCTAGCCAATCAACATGAGCAAAATTTGACCGTTGAAGATGCTGTGGCTGTCAGTTCCAGTAAGCCCCTAGATGGGTTGGCTAGCACTGATGAGAACACAAAGGAGGCTAATAGGGAGAGTTATGGCCCTTGAATGCTTGCTAATAGAAGAGGCCCTCGAAAAAATTTGATGAGAAAGAGAGAGTCCAATTTTGAATCCAAGGGCTAAGCCCAAAAGAAAGATATGTCTATGCCCAATCATCTAATTCTTGCTATGCATAAAGGGGAGAGTTCCAATGGCCCAAGCATGCTACATAAAGATCTCCCCTCTGCCAAAAACCCTGTATTAGAGAAAAGTGTTGTTACAAACAACCCCTGCACGACTTTGACTGCTGAAGACACTTTGATGGACAGCTCTGCCATAGCCAGAGATTCCCCTCCAAATAAGGCTTTCCCAGCTGGTGTCAATATTTCTGCAGAACCTTGTGATAAGGTTTTAAAGCCATCTCTACCTAGTCCTAAAGAACCACCGAATCCTACTTCTTCTTTTTCTCTCCCAAAAGTTAGCCATTTTAACGTATCAACTCCTTCTGAGTATGGAGATTCCAGAGGAGAATCAATACAGAGTCCAAACAAGCATGATCTATCTTTCATTAGATCAAGATAAATAAGCCATTCACCTAATAGATGTCAATTGGTGGATCGTAGAGGCTCGTCTTATAGTCGAGCAGGAGGAGATGAACGCTTATGGCCAAAAGAACAACATGGTCAGAGTGAGCTCCATAGCTTCACTAGTCAACGACAAGCTCAGAGCAAGGAGGATATTGGGAACCCTTGATAGGTTTCCTCTTCTATTATTCCCTAAATCTATCTCCATAAAGCTACTTATTTGGAATTGTAGAGGTGCCAGTAACAAAGCCTTCAGATGCACTATGGAGGAACTGGAGAAAACTCACAAACCTTCTATCATTGTCCTGATGGAAACAAAAGTTGGGCTTAGTTCTATGGATCTCTTCTTCAATAAACTAGGGTTCACAACCTCCTCTCATGTGGATCCGGTGGGATGAAGTGGTGGGATTTGGATTTTGTGGGATCCCTTATGTGCAACGATAATGGCTCTTGGTGTTAACGTTCAAGTCATACACGCCAAGATTAAGCGTGATAACTACTTAGATTGGATTTAGCAAGTGATTTTAATGATATTGTATCTTAAAGGGAGAAAATAAGCTTCAACTCCAATGCAAACCAAGTCCGAACTTAGAAATTTGCAACTAGGATGAATAGGTGCAAGTTCATGGACTTAGGTTGCTCAAGGCCTAATTTAACATGGTTGAATAGTAGACAAGGTTTGGCAAATACACTGTAAAGACTTAACCGAGCTGTTTGTAACACCGAGTGGAGAGTTTCCTTCTTAGAAAGAACTGTTCAACATCTGCCTTGCACGTACTCAAATCACTCTCTGATCCTAATTTTAATACACTCAAGGTATGTCTATTTCTAATCCCCTAGCTAGGCCTTTTAGAATGGAGGCTGCGTGGTTCACTGATCCTAATTTTAAAAACCTTGTTGAGAAAGCTTGGGCTGATAGTTAAAATTTTGTTCCTGAAGCTATCAATCTTGTTACAAAGAATGCTATTGCTTGGAATAAAAACACTGTCAAGCCCCACTTTTTATTACTCGAAGTATTACCAGTTTCATTAACTTAATTCCATTTCAGAGATAACATGCGGAAATAAACTAGTATATTCAACTCGTAAAAGTGAATAACATTGCTCTCATTCATGTGTAAGTAAATAAAACATGAGTATAATAAATAAATTTCCCATGGGCTTACATCATTAACGAATCAAGAAAAAGGGTATAACCCTTTTACACATATGACATTCCGCCAACACAAGAGAGGCCCCGTGGCCAACAAATAAAAAGATCCAAATCTTGCAGCACATTCAGCTCAACACCTGAAAAAGATTCAACAACATGGGATGAACATATAGTCCAGTAGGGATCTCAACATGGCCCTTAACAATAACAACTTACAGATAGCTATGTTCATGAATGCTCAATCTTATACTAGGATAGTAATGTGACAGTTTGTACCAAATATACATAAGTATGAACTTTTCTCGAAAACAACCATTTCAATCAATGCCACAGGTGATTCGATTTTTTCTTTCTTTTCATTAACCCCCGTTCCCAATCTTTCATAACACTAACAATTCCTTAGGAAATAAATTCACGAAGCCCACTATTCTCTTCCATTTTCCAAACATACACAGATGTGCCTTTTCAAACATATATTTCTTTAAAATATTCGTTCTCCTTCACACTTTCCAAAAGACAGAATGACATTTTGGCTTCTTCCCGATACAATCAAATCTATACATGCACCGTTATAAAAAGGGAGATAACAACTCACCAACATGCATAAGATAAACCAATGAGGCAACTCAGCCCTCCAAAACTATAACCGACACAATCCATGATATTCCCAGACACACTGAAACATCAACAACAACACTTTGCTCTACTAGCTATATGCGTAGTAAGCCAAACATACACCTCTCACAACAACATTACCAGTTTACCAAGCGCTAGCTGGAAGGGTATGGTGCCTTAGATTCTCAGCGCAGTCAGTTCTCCAAGCGCTAGCTGGAAGGTCACCGTACCTCTAATTTTTAGCGCAAGGTATAACACCACCAACCAAAATACAACAGGGCATAACTAACATGTATAACACATATACATAAACCATCAAGACACAAGCAATGTGTTAAAGTATATGAACACATAACTACCTCCTCCCGAGCAAGTATACATATATAATGTATCTCAACACTTCATCACATACGAGGTTCAATCAACAATGGTATAATGCATACACGACAATTCAACACAACCGTGTCATCCTCCACCGATGACCAAGGACAAAACCTCTAGATGTAAATATTTAGTACATCTATTAAAGACTCAATTGCTATGAGACCATAAACCCACCAACAACACTAACACGGTAGTCCCCACGTGTGTGTGTTTAACACTCAAGAAACAACAATCCAATTTTCATACTTATCAAAGATACTTTTCTCATTTCATAAAACAAATTCCGTTTCCTTTTGC